ATATATAAGAAGAAAAATAAAAGTAAAATAAAATCTCACTATAACCTGCTTACAAGAGTTGCTTGTCAAGAAAGAACTATCAAAAATTTAAAATTAAGTGTTTGTCAGATATTTATTAGAGAAACAACAAAAGAAAGCAGTATGAGGTAGCAGAATTAATATCAGACAGAATGGAAGCTAAGGTAACAAACATTTAACTGCAGAAGTTCTTTTATTTTGATAAAAAATACAATGAATTACAAAATGTCCTTTTAAGAGCCATCTGCCTTAACTACACATATCAGTCAACATTTCTCAAACGAATAAAAGATAAATTGGTTAAAAGACTGTTGAGAAAGCCTTTAGCCTGCTCTTTTTGGTCTTCAAACATTGTGGAAATAAAAAATACATAATGACACAGAAAATGTAAGTAATACATTTAATGAGATTGAAGCAATCATTATATATTAATGTGAGAATACATGTTCTTTTTGAGGGTTGTGTACATTTTCAAAACTAAAAATTATTAAAAAATTACAAAATCAGGGACGCCTGGGTGGCTCAGTTGGTTAAGCGGCTGCCTTCGGCTCAGGTCATGATCCCAGCGTCCTGGGATCGAGTCCCACATCGGGCTCCTTGCTCAGCGGGGAGCCTGCTTCTCCCTCTGCCTCTGCCTACCACTCTGTCTGCCTGTGCTCATGCTCTCTCTCTCTCTCTCTAACTAATAAATAAATAAAATCTTAAAAAAAAAAAATTACAAAATCAATAGGTAATATACTTTGACCTTTATTCCAAAGAAAATGAAACTACAAAATCAGAGCTGTTTGGTGCTGCAAACCAAGCTTAGATGATCAAGAAAAATACTCATATTATGAACATATAGAATTGTGAAAAAAGGAGTCCTTCAAAATGACAAACTTTATTATTCCCAAATATTAAATGTGCAGAAAGAAATACTATGATTTTCACCTAAGGTGAAATTAAAAGAGATATAACTTTGTACTTCTATATTTTAGGCATTTTCTACCAGTAACTAAGTGCTATATTTATGATACATGAAAAACAGTAATTGATGATAAGAACAGAAAACTGAACTGAATGTTCAGTATGAATTAATTTTGTAAGTGTGTGTGCATGTGTGTGTGTGAATTTATAGAGACAAAAGTTTAAAAAAATATGCTAAGATATTAATAGTGGTTATCTCAGAGCTAAGGACATTTCTCCAGTTTTCTACAAAGAATGTCTATCATGTCTACAATTAGGGGAAAATAAATATTAATAAAAAATTAAGCAGTGATTGGAAGTTTCCTTTTGAGATGGCATAAGGATTCATGCTTAATAGCATCTCCTCTTTCCAAGTATGTAGCAACACTAGTTCAAATATTTATGTATACATATTTTAATAGATATATGTTTATTACATATATGTGTGTATATATACCTATATATACACACATATATATTTAAAAAAGAGAATAGAAAATAAATAGCTGGGCTCAAAACACATTAGTAACTTAAGATGCTGAGTGAAGTTGGTACACAAGTCTAGAAGCCAGAAAATGGGACAGATGACTAAGGGTTTAACTTCTGTGGGAATGATCTAAATGTACTCCTTAGGAGACAGGCCAGGTAAACCACTGATTAAAGCCTCAGGCACCTCCCACCCCCACTCCCATTCCCAAGTCAGGAGGTTGGACAGAAGTAGGCAGTTAGAACCTACTGCCTGGACCTTTAGTACTAAGAAACAGAGATGCAGCAAGACAAACACATGAACTTATATTCTAGGAAGGAGTTGGGTGGCCACCTGGACTGGAGGTTGCATCTGGGATAGCCCCAGCACCACCATGGATTAGGAGCCCAAGACGATCACAAATACTAGGCTGGTGGTGGTGGTTGGGGTGGGAGGGAGACAGGAAGAAGTGATTAGAAAAGTTCTGGAGAGGATGGGAGGCTTGGTTAATGAAAGGGAATGGAAGGAAGAGGCAAGACAGAAGAGAGGGAAAGAGAGAGAGGAGGAATAACAGGAAATTTCTTACTTGAAATTCCTAGACACAGGAAGAACTCTAATGCCGAGAAAGATCCAATAATACCAGCCATCAGAACTTGGATTCTCTCCAGGTGAATTGTGCAATGTATGTAGAAAGAAGGCCCTGTAATTAACTGGAACTTCTTTCCTCATAATTAACTGGCCCTGATCAATGTATGTAAAAGACACGGAACCCAAACCAGTTAATCTAGGCATCTAAAGGCTGTGCTGGGGAGGCGTTTGGTACAGAACCATAATTTAACACAGATAGATATGTATTATAGGTATGTTATGTACATAGTACAATTTTACAAATAACATATAATAATATATAATTTAATTATATATCCACATATAATTATATATTCACATATAATTTAATTAAACATTAAATCATATATAATAAATCATACATTATAATATGAAATCAAATTTTATATAATATGATAATATCTATAATATATAACTTAATTATACATTCATGTATAATCATATATATTCATATATAACTAAATTATATGTTTACATATAATTAAACATTTAAAAATTTAAAAATCTTTGTATCACCTATTAGGGCAGATGTCAATAGTAGTTAGCAAGGGAGAATATTACTGCATCAGTTTAGTGATCATATGACTCAGAATGACATTCAGTTTCCTGGAGATTGTGAGGCTTAATGATTTAACAATATTTTAAAACATCAGAGGTCCCAGCATGACACTGGAGTATCTTAGAATCTAAGTACCACCACAGCCTAGGGTGAGAGGCCTGTAGGGTTCAGGGTTCATCCTGGTGCTGTTTCCTGGAGCACTCCCAGGGACACTGTGTAATTGGGGTCAGTTTGGACTCTGCAACGCTAAGAGGCTATGAAGCCTCTAAAGCTTCTGGAAAGCCACCCGGTGGTACTAGAGAACAGTCCACAGAGTTGTGCCCCTGCTGGACCCTCTGTACGCTTCCTTCTGTAGTGCTCCCTCCCCAGCTTTGGATCTCACTTCCCATTTCACTTCCCCCTCAGACTCTCATTGTGGCCAATTCTGTTTGCTGTTGTGGCCGTCATGTTACTCAGAAGCTCCTGAGCTCATGGTTTCAGTTACAACCCCTTCTTTCAAGATCTTAGATCCCAGGGTCTGGCTGGGAAGGGTATTACAAGGACACCATCAGAGCTGTCCTTCTAAGCCGTTGTCCATAACGTTGTCCTTTGACTTTCTTATACCTGGAGGTGGCTCCCACCTCCCGAGAGACACTTCTTGGTGTTTAGTTAGGATAGAATGTCCCTCTCCTTTATGAGGGTCTTAATCTAGGCATAGGAGGGCCTACTTGTCAGTCCCAGGCTATCTTTGGTAGAATCCCCTGAGAGGTAGGAATCCTCAGGAATGTAAGTCTCCCCTCCTATACCCAGACTCCATATCCCAGACTCCATATCCCAATGCCAAGATACATTATACGTAAGAGTGCGTACAGCTGTTTTCCACCTTCAGTAAGGACAGAACAAGGAAGAAAGGTTCTAATTTGCAGGAAAAAGAATTCTAGTCAGACTATAAGTAACAATTTCCTACTATTGAAGATTACTAATCTTTGAAAGACTGATGGGAGCGTTTTTTTGAAAAAATCAATAGGCTTATCACATGCCAGATAGTCTTCCAGGGGCCAGGGGTGCAGAAATGTCTAAGGAACAGTCTTAGTGGCCTCATTGCCATGGCTGGGTGATGGTTCATCTAACGCAGGGTATCCCAACCTCCTCCTATTGACATTTGGGTCCAGATAATTCTTTGTGATTGGAGGTTATTTTGGACATTTCAGGGTGTTAAGCAACATCCTTTCCTTCTACCCACCAGATGCCAGTAGGAGGCCCTCCCCCAGTTGTGATGAAAATGTCTCTAGACTTTGCCAAATGTCCCTTGGAGAAGGGTTGGGGAGCACAGCTGCCTGAGTTTGAGAATCACTCATCTAAGAATGTATTAAAATCCGTGAACCCTGATTTTTTATTCAAGCTGGTGTTAGGGGAGAAATAGTTCTCTTCATGATACTTTTACATTAAACGGATCTACGAGGTGGGTAAAAGAAAAATGGGGAGGAGGTTGTAGACTGATGGGACTCCAGAGCCTTACTCCTGGTGGGCAGGCTTAGTTTGCCCCTACAATAAGGTAATAGCACAAAGACGGGTGTCAAAAGCCTGTAGTGATCAGTCGCATCAGTGTAGCATTAAGGCCTAAGAAGGCAAGCCGTGAAAACAAGTCCTAACTGGCATCAAATAAAAGATTTTTAACCACATGGAGCAAATCATTCTCTGGGCTGTGCCAGGAAGGAATCTGGAAGGGACACAATTATGGAGATTACAACTAGAGAGATGATTAGAGACTTGGGGAATTCTTTTTTCAAGGACTTGCTAAGGAAATGGGACTGTAATTAGAAAGGGAAGTAGAATGAAGGCTTTTTTTTTTCTCCCTCTCTTTTAGGTCAACTAAAAAGCTTCAGTAAATATATAACAAGAACCTACGAAACTTCCATATCAGTGGGAAAATGTGCTAACTTCAAAAATCACTAATGAATACATCCTAAAGCAAAGTACTGCATTTGAAAATCAGTCTCTCCATTACCTGTCAAGTCCAGACCTTCAGGAGTTTAGGTATATCCTGGAATAGCAGTTGACAAGCTATTGAAATGAAAATTCTGAATAAAATTAAGACAGCCCATTAGCCCAAATGGGGGAACATTGTAAAAGAGTTCATGGATTTGTGACTTGTGATATATATATATATATATATATATATATATTTTGTCATTGATATTCTTACTTGGAAAAGTAGAGAAAGTAATTTTTGCATTTTTGGGTGGGGGGGTTATAAAAACCCAAACTGAGATCTGAGGTTTTTATAGTTTGGCAAATTTCAAAGATATGAAAGCAGAATTTTTGGCACTCGGGGATTGAGAGGCAAATGACATCATATGGCTTAAGGGAAATAGAGAGCTAAAAACGTACATTTGGAAAATTTCAGAAGCTGGCTGCCGCTGAAATAATTTTGATTTTTTTTTTTTCCAGTAAATTTAGTTGTCACAAAAGGCGCTCGATTGACAGGCCCGCAGAGGAAAACGTGCGAGTCCGGGAGATGCGATGTCAGCTCCTGCCTGAGGAACGCCTGGGCTGGAGGGCCTGCGTTTGCCTTGTCAGAGCGGGTCTTTCGGGGGCCACTCCCCGCGTTGGTGACACCCTGGTGGTGAGTGAAATGATTTAGCCATGGTCTGGTGGGCTTGGGCGGAGGAAGGAGTGCCAGTTTCCCCTCTCCAGTCTCAGTTTCTTGAGCCCCTTGGCATCTCAAATTATTATTGGGGTGATTGGCGGGATTGTTCATTTTGAAGCTCAGCGTAGTCATCCCAAAGCTTCTGCATGACTTTTCATTTCCCCAAAGGGAGGTCATGGGCATGATAGGTGAGTTAAAACACGGAGGACAAAGATGGTGAGACTGGATGAGAGGAAAACTATCTTCCAATAAAATCAAGATGGATGATTGACAGTTGGCAATCCTTGAGTTGGGGAGGGGAAGCCGATTTGGGGGAAAGGATATGTATCTGGATTTAGGATGGATTGAGGTTGGGAGACCTGAGGTAACAGGACTTCTTTCTGTTCTATCTTTTCTTTTTTCTCCTCCAGCTTGCTAATTCTCAGCAACCAACCTAGAGTGTATGGCTTTACAGAGAGATGGTAAATGAGAAGTTATATAAAAACATCCTTAGATGAGAAAAAAATATTAAAATGGGATTAAAAACAAAATGAAGAGGAAAGGACAGAAAATGCACTTCATGTTTCAAATACATACCTGCAAAGGGGAAAACCAATTGGAGGCCCGGGACGGTTAGGGTGAGTGGAGAGGTCTGACTTTTATTGTGATGTTATTGCGTTCAACCCTCCAAGCCCAGCTCTGACAGCTCTCCAGGTTAACATCGGGTTGATCCTCATGTTGGAGAAACAGGACCGGGCCATGTGCTATGCTCCTCACTATGGTCATGTCCAGTGAATTTCATACTTGTTTCCAAATCTTGATTTAAAGCATTTGATTTCCCACCCTCATTGTCTATCTGGCTCTGCATTTCCCATAGGATTACTGAACCTGCTGGTGTTTGCCATGACTACGTCTGGAAATATATCAACTTTCACCCCTGAAATCATCTCACCCTGTTGCTTTCAGATTACGGGTTCGTCTTTGTGCCTTTCCTTCCTTATCCTTTCCTTCTCCCTCCTCACTTGGGAGAACAGAAAAGGTCTGAGCCATGGAGCCTGTCAGCTCTCTCCTTGCTTTGTCCCCTGCCCCAACAACCTGAATGAACCTTTCTGGATGAATTCTGTCTACCCCTTGCTCTCTGGTTTACCTACTTGGTTTTTTATTTTTCCCTTCCTTACCTTCACTTTTTTGCAGGCTAACCCAGGCACTTGTGGACTCTTGATCCTAACTCTTTTTGTTTCCCCAAAGTCTCTGCTACATGAATTATTCCCTCTTTTTCTTAAATCTTCGATTACTCTTTCTCTACCCTGGCTCCTACCCCCTCTGGCTACAAACATACTTAGATCTCCTTCATCTTAGGAAAAAAAAAATCTACAAAAACTTCTGTCTCCCTCAGCTATTATCCTTTTCAAACTCCCTTTAAAACAAATGCCTCTATTTCTTGACCTACACTTGACTCATCAACATGATTTGATTCTGCCCCTGCACCATCCCACTCCAGACTTTTCTGTAGAAATTGTCAGCAGTGATCAGTCTTTAATTGTCAGATCAAATCGGATCATCTGCTTTAATCTTCCTTTTACCTGGTCTCCCTGCAGCTTGATACTAATACTTAGTTTCCCTCCTTGAAACTCTTTCCTCCTGATTTTGCTTCCATGTCTTTGACACACGTTCATCTTATCCTAGCTGGCTCCTTTCCCTTTATCCTCTCCTTAAACGTTGACTCTCCCTTTGGTACCACCTTCTCTCTTCATTCTATAAGCTCTCTCTGGGCAGTATTATTTACTTCTGTGTTTTCAACATTGTCTTTCCCATGGGTGACTTTAAAATCATACCTCCAGGACTGACCTCATGCATGAACTCCCCCTCTAATATTTTCAGTTGTCTTCTGATATTTCAAGTTCAAGCTATCAGAAAGTGAACTCATTATCTCCAGAATCCGGCATGGCACTTGGCATGCGACAGTCTTGCTGAAGCAGAGAAGATTTTTAGGCAGGTCAGAAGAAAGTTTCCAAGCTGGTCACTTCTGCGTTCTTCCCTTTCCCCTGGAAAATTCAAAACCAGGCAGATGCAAACTGATAATTCCCATCCCGACTTATCTTGAGCACCTCTATCAATTCTGTAATTACAGAAAGCAGATTACAAAATAATAACTTCAAAGCCTTGTATGAACAGATGTGTTAGTCAGCTTTGCAGTAGGACCAGAAGGCCTTGGACAGCCTGACTGTGGGGCTAGTGCAGAGTTGGTAGACCTTCAGTGCTATCTCTGTGTGCCTTGATCTATTCTTGCCACTTCCCTTGCATATCCTAGAAATTATAGCTCTGGAATTCTGCATCAAGGCTCAGCTCTGTTATTTTCTTGGTACAGTATGTATTATTCCTGTCGTTTTAGTCCAAATTCACTTTGCCTTCTGGTCGATACTGATAATTCAGACTTCACCTAAGATACTGTGAATCAGAGAGGGACTCTGTCAGTGGGTGGTACCACTGGTCTCTTCAGATGGATGGTTGATCTTCTGAATGCCTGTTTCATGAAACCCAGAGAACAGAATAGTAGGAAAGTATTTGGGGTTGTAAAACCATGGGTGTTCCCCTGATCTCTCTTAAAGATCACATCTTAAGCTATTACCTATGTATAATAAAAGCATTAGCAATGTTTACTTGGGCCCACTTGAAGCACTCCATACATTCTTTGGAGGTACCTAAAAAAGGAAGGAGCCCTGGACCAGTAAAGAGAAAAATCAAGAATAGGAGGCATTTGGTGACACAATGACAAACAAAGCCCATTGTACTGTTCTTAGAGTTGGCAAAACTACCCCAAGATTTCTCCTCCTTTTTTTACTATGGTGGTCTAATAATGATGAAAAGATACCTGGGTCAAATTCACATCAGGATCTCAGGTTTTGAATTAGAAGCCAGTATCCACCTATGGGAGGTTCACCTATGGAGGGGGATGGATGTTGGAGTCTTTTTGGTTCTAGGAATGCAGAGATCTTTCTGTCTCCTAGACAGGAAGGAAATGTAAGCAAGGATAAAATAGGCAATGATTGGTAACACAATTCTTTTCTCTCTTCAGTATTTTTGTCTGGACCCCAATTTGAAGATGTGTTTAAGATTTATGGAGAGCAGACGTCTGTCATAAGGGATACTTGCTGCTCCATTGGGGCTGAGAAGAGAAGTGGAGAGGGGGGAAGACAGTGCAGATGGAGGAGGAAGGCGTGGCTCTGCTCACAACTAGAAGACACTTCCTAATGGTACACACGGAGCCTTATTTAATTCTCCTGTGGTGTTTCAGTCTGGATGCTTTCAGATCTTTTGAACTCGATGCTTTTATCTTCTACTGATTCAGTCGATGCAGACGAGAAAGTCCTGTGAGGCAGTAATGTCACCAAAAAACTGTGTCCTCAGCTTTTATTGTTCTAATTGTATCCGCTCTGGAAGGCACTGGAATTGACACAGCCCAATCAATAATGACTACTTTTAAGTGAGGAACCATTCTTGGAGACACTGCTGCAGGATTTGAGATTTACAGATATTTTCTCATTCAATTAAGAAGATGGAGACCATTCAACCTCTGCTGGTCAGAGAGCTGGGATTCCTGTAACAAACTTTTGCCCAACTACATTTGGCAGCAGAAATCCCCTATAAGAGAAAATCTGGGCCGTGTCCCCTGACTTGATGCCCAGTATTTTACATATTCAAGGGAACAATGTGGAACAGAGAAGAGCATTCTTTCAGTTTATTGTTTTTATTATTTCAGTTATTTATTTATTTATTATTTCAGTTTATTATCCCTACAAGTTTGCTTGGATCAGGCAAAAAGCTGTCCATTGATGATGGTCCTTAATAGCTTGTAGCTTCTTCTATGACCATGGAGGGATGATCACCAAAGCTATGCCATCCCTTAGAACAGCTTAAATTCTCGACGCATATATAGAAAATAATTTGGATTCCCAGATTTGGGTATTTGGTATAAACTCTTCTATCTTATTACGGACAGAGGGGCCTCCAATTGCAGGTATGGCACTGGACCAGATGTGGAGCCCCTGACAGCTAGAGGGTAGTTCCACTAAGATACCCAAAGCACAAAGGTAACAATGATTTAAACAAGTAAATCTTATTAAGGCATAATATATATACACAATAGAATATACAAATAATAAGGGTGCAACTTGATGAAATCCCTCCTATACACATATCTAAATCAAGTTATAGAATACTGCCAGCATTCCAGAAAACTTAATCATGCTTTTTCCTAGTAAATATCCCCAGAAGCTTACCATTATTTTGACCCTTATCCCCATAGATTACCTTTTGTATTTCACTTTATATTCAACATTATATTGGAGAGATTCACCATGATGCTATTTGAAACATAATTTTATTCCTTTTTATTGCTACTTACTAGTCCATTATATGAATATAACTAAATCATATTTACCCATTCTACTGTTGATGGTCATTTGAAATGTTTCCAAGTCTTAGCTCTTATGAGAAAAACTGCAATGAATATTCTTATACCAGTCTTGTATTCTGCCAAAACATTTTCATAATAATTATTAAATTCATCAGCAATGGAGGGGAGATCCAGATGTTCTACTTTTTTTTTTTCTTACCAATACTTAGTATTTTCAGTCATCTAAAATTTTAGCCATCCTAGTGAGCATGTAATGATATCTTATTGTGGTTTTATTTTGCATTTTCCTGACGAAAATACCATCTTGCACTGAGCATTATTTCTTGTGCTTAATGGTCATTTGGATGTTTCATTTACAAAGTATCTGTCCAAAAGTTTTGTTCATTTTGAAAGAATTGGGCTGCTTGGGCTTTCCTTACGGATATAGTAATACTGTGTATATTTTCAGAGTTCTTTGTCTAATGTATATTGAAAATATCTTATCGTGGACTGTCAGTTGTCTCAAAAGTGTTATCTCTCCACAATTCTCTCTTGCTGAACTTTGATGGTTATACCTAATTTCAGCCTTCTAGTACTGAAG